CCACGCTTCAGGTATATATATTATAATCTCAGAATATATACATATTAAACACATCAAGTGAAAACTAATGACATTTTGGGTTAATTTTACTTTTATGTGTGATGATAATTAAGCTTCAACGGTAATATTCTACAACAAGTGCAAATACACAGTCTGGCCTGGGATCCAAGCTAGCTCCGGTCAACCACTTCTCGCCGGCGGTGGATTTAAACTCTCTCCGAACAGAGCTCACACTCTCCAACTTCCACCGCTCTGGTCCGGTCGTTTCTGGGGTCGTCATGGTTGCTCTTTCGACAGATCTGGCCGTGGTCGTTGCGCCACCGGAGACTGCGGTGGTTCTCTTCTATGTAACGGAGCCGGTGGTGTACCTCCGGCTACTCTCGCCGAGATCACACTCGGTCATGACCAAGACTTTTATGACGTCAGCCTCGTCGATGGGTATGTCTCTCATTTACACCACTTTTTTTTTTTTTTTTAAATTACGTTTGGTTTAACTTTTGGTTTGTGGTTGGTTTAGTTATAAAAAACAACTAAATATATTTATAGCATATAGTATTTAAATAATTAGTATGAATTTTAGAGAATATCAATTTTATTTGGTAATGTTTGCAAACAAAAAAAAAACAATTTTGTTTGGTATAGTTAGGGACTGAGGGGTGAAAAAAATATTTAAAAAAAAATCTAAACCGAACCAAACTAAAACAGATTTTAGTGTTCATGAATCAAACCAAACATAATAAACCACTATTATATATAAGCATATCTTAAAATAAATATAATCATATTTTATGACATAACATGAAATAAATCATCATTAACTGTATTTTAAGTTATTTTTAAGTCTATACCGACCCCGAATTCAAAAATGATATTTCATTAAACCAAACCGGAACCTAGGCAAATTACAAATAGTTCATTTGGTTTTGAAATAAAACCGTTTACAAAAAAAAAAAAACTCAAGTCACAAACAAATTTGCCTATCTCAATCCTCAAACATCAGTGATTTACAAAATTTTGTTTACTTTCTCATATACTAATAATAATATTCTTGTTAACTACAGATATAACTTGGCAATGTCGATAATGCCGGTGAAAGGTACGGGGAAATGCAGCTACGCTGGTTGCGTCAGCGACCTGAACCGGATGTGTCCGGTTGGCCTACAAGTCCGGTCACGTGATGGGAAACAGGTAGTAGCCTGTAAAAGCGCATGCTCTGCTTTCAATTCACCACAATACTGTTGTACCGGCTTGTTCGGTAGTCCACAGTCGTGTAGACCCACGGCTTACTCCAAGATCTTCAAGGTAGCTTGTCCTAAGGCCTATTCCTACGCTTACGACGACCCAACCAGCATCGCCACGTGTTCTAAAGCTAACTACATCGTCACTTTTTGCCCTCACCATGGACGTTGATTAAAATTAATCTCAGTTTTAATGTTAAAGAGTAATGTTGCATTATTATTTTAGTACGAGATTTTTCTTTGAGTTAACGAGACTTTCTTTCTTTTGAGCTTAATAAAGGAATTTAGTGTTTTATTTCTTCTTGGTTTCTTGTTCATGATCTAGAACTAATAATCACTTAAGATTCCATCGATTTGTTACAAAGAAGAACATGCATTACGCGTTTAATAGTTTAATGATATCCATTTAGTTTAACCACTCCTAAAAATAAAACAAAAAAGGATTTAAAAGAAGAATTAAGCTTATATCAGGTTATTTAATTTGTAAAAATTTATAAATCAATATATTAAAACGT